GATTTTAGCAGAGCTTATATTTTTAAATCGAGACCCCAAATTTCAGCTTCAGCCGTTTTCAGCATCAGCTGCGACATCTATTACATATGCTATGAAAATTCCCAGTGAGAATATATTCTCCCTTGATTATATATATGTTATTGTTTGATCTTAAGGTTCATTCTCACTGTAATACACGATTCATTAACTTTTATTTATTGGCACTGTTATTGTCTAACTACGTGAATGCACACTATAGTACTAATGTACAGCATGTGCCCGTGCTCATTTACGACGAAAAGGTCGTTTTACATGAAAGCCCTCATGATTCGCAATAAGTATCTCTTTATACAAATCTTTCATTAATGCAAAGAAAATATTACGTACAAATGAAGTAATAATCTTTACAATAAGAAAAATATAGTAATAATTGTGCGAAGGCATAGTAAAAATATAAAGTTAACTAATTCTAATTTAGAAGATCATGGTGATTATAGAGGTGCACCACTGTTCAAGTGCATAAATTTTATAATTAATATTCTCCACCTCTTTCTCCTCCTCCTCCTCCACGGCTGATAATTCCAATTTGTTGTCGTCTTTGAGCGTCTAACTTGGGGCATTCAGAGATACGATGACCAAGACCACCACAAAACGTACAACCTATGAATAATCGTGTAATTTGAGAAATAATTTAATCAACACAAACAGCACAACTATGGAAGTTTGATGAAAATCAATATTACCTCCCGATAATTCTTTGTACTCTTCTTCCAATGGATCCCTTAAAGCTTCTAATACGGGAGGAACGCGCTGTTTGGCCTCCTTGAGTAAATGTTTCAAATCGAGCAAAATTTGTTCAGAACAAGTCATGTTAATAAATGTAGTTGCTACTCCAGTTTTTCCGGAACGTCCAGTACGGCCAATTCTGTGCACTAAATAACAGATAATATATTAGATGCATTTAAATTGATTTTTTGTTTTGTTTCCTTAATAACTTGCCATAATTTTCGATTTCTTTTGGCATATCATAATTTATGACATGCTGAATATCTGGAAAATCTAGCCCTTTGGAAGCTACATCAGAGGCAACTAGAACATCCTTCTTGTATTCTTTGAATGACCGGATTGCGAATTCACGTTCATCTTGACCTTATTAATACTTAAAATATTAGCAACTATTGGAATTATTACAATTATTACTTAATAATGAATTTGTTGCCAAAGTACTCACTTTTCCCTCCATGGATCGCAACAGCTTCAACTCCCTTGACGAGAAGGTACTCATGAATATCATCTACATCATTCTTATTCTCTGCAAATATTAACACCTAAAAAATCGGTTCATTTAATAAAATAATTACTCATCAGAATATGTAATGATAAATAATAATTACTTACGGGAGGTGGAGTTTTCTGTAAACATTCCAATAAATACACAATCTTGGATTCTTGTTTTACATATTCCACTTCTTGAATAACATCCAAATTGGCAGCACCTGCACGACCAACATTTACAATCACCGGTTTAACTAATGCAGATCTTGCAAAGTCTTGAATTTTCTTGGGCATAGTGGCTGAATACAGCAAAGTTTGGCGTTGATTCTAAATATTTAAATAATGAATGTAAATAAATTATATATATAAAAAGAAAAAGGTATCATCAATCGTATATGCATACCGTGAAATATGACATTATATTTCTAACATCATCTTCAAATCCCATATCAATCATACGATCTGCCTCATCTAAGCACAAAAATCTATAAAAAAAAAAACTAAATATTCCAGGTATTCCAATTTCAAGCAAAAAGCTGTGTATAGTAAACGAACTTACTTGCATAAATCTAAATTAAATTTCCTTTTTTCTAACATATCCATTAATCTACCGGGAGTTGCAACGACAATATGAATCCCTTCTGATAATGTGTTCCATTGATCTGCCATCGATATACCGCCAATACATAAAAGAATTCGTAACTTTGAATAGCCATCCATAATTAAGAACTCGTTCATTGCGCAAATACTTTCATATGTTTGTCGTGCCAATTCACGCTAATAATACATTCTTATGTTAACATTGTGTTACTAATTAAAAAAAAAGTTTTTATGCAATATTTTAATTTTTTAATTTTTTTTTACCGAAGGACACACGATCATTCCTATAGGACCTTCTCCCCTAATTAATGGAAGTTTCACTTCTTCTTCCAAAGCAAACATGACCAATGGTAACGAAAAAGCCAAGGTTTTTCCAGACCCTGTAAATGCAATTCCGATCATGTCTCGGCCAGACAATCTAAAAATACATACTTTACCGTTAATCTCTTACCATAAAAATTTAGAAACTTAATAGTTTCATCCGTTCAATAGAATTGATTGCACAATTTGGCTTACACCACTGGAAGGCCTTGAACCTGAATTGGCGTAGGTCTGTTGATACCTTTAGATTTTAAGTATTTCAATATTGCCGGTGGGAATTTCATGTCCTATTATGTACAATATTACATGATTGATAAATTTCGTGTACATTACAATTATTTTGTTATTATATAATGTCGGGGATGATGCTGAAATTTTGAGTCTTAATTTGCAAATATAAACCCTACTAAAATCCACCTATACTCTTTTATTATAAACACTAACCCTAAATTCTAATCAAACTATAAAAAAAAGGGCTGAACAAAACACCCCCAAAAAATTTTAAATTTTCATAATAAAATAAGTCAAAATTTCAGAATCATCCCTGACATATAATAATATATACAAACCCTAAAATGCTTTATTGGTGGTGGGATATCTTCACCATCAACAAGAATATGATATCTCTGTCTTATGGCTTCATGTTCTTTTTGAGGGGCTTCAAGGATATGACGAGGTGGTCTCCACCTGAAAATATTCAAAAAAAAAAAAGGTACTATTAGTCACTAAATAAATTTAAGGCGTTTCGTTATGAAAGAATAAATGTACGTACGTAGTTGTCATAGAATCTGTGTAAATAATGCCTTTTGCAAGTTCTCGATCAGATGCTAAAAGCTTTTTTTGAGCAACGGCATCCATTATAGCCTTTTCCTCTTCGAGTTTCTTTTCTGCGTCAGTCTTTACGGCATCTGAAATGTATATGTTTTTAATATTAAAATCACTAAAAATTGAACCTTGCATAAAAACTTTTTGCAACATACCTTCCAACATTTTTTGCTTTTTGACTTCTACTGCTTGATCAATCAAACTCACGTTAGCTTTGGGACCAGCTTTGTGAGAGTCTTCGACCTCTTCATCTGCTTCAACGATATTTTGCTGTTCGGGAAGGCGTCTTTGGCTTACAAGCTTCTGAAATTTAGCTTCACGTCTTTGTTTGATCGGTATATAAGGAACATAATTGTCATTGTCGTCCTCGAGACTAAAAAGATCATCGGTTTTTGACATTTTGAAGAAGACTATCGAATTTTAATCAAACGTGTCGAATTTTGATCAAACGTGTCGATATTAATATCGGTAACATCAAGTGACCATCTACCACATAGTACGATGATCATCGAATTTTTATTGGTCAATTTTGTATCATATACCGATACTGACTTTTGATATGCCCGGCCAAAATCTTTCTTATATCGAGATTTTCTTATATCGAATGCTTTTTATTATAAAATTTTTCAATTGGGATTTAAAAAATCTTTCTTATACCAAGAGTTTCTTATATTCGAAGGTTTCTTATATCGAGAACCACTTGTATGGTATTACTTGGGATAGTATCAATAAAGTGGGCCCTTTTTTATGAATCAAAAAATGGATCCAGTATACAAAAAAAAATCCTTACCAAATTTTAGTATAAACTGGTTTTTTACATATCGTATAAATATTACACGAATTTGCAATCAATTTATTAATACGTATACGTATACCTGTTTATATACACGTATAGTATACAATTGGTTTTTTCCTTATTCATACGCGTTATCGTTATGGTATTTTTTTTAAAACTTTAAACAAAGATAACTTGATGATTACTTAATTTTTTATTTGAATTTTAACAAATTTATAAAATTTAAAATAAACCCATTTTTTATCAAGCTTAACCAGATAATTGTTAGCTTAAAATTTTGTTTTCTGAATAATATAAATATCAAACGTGAGAAGTGTAAATTTTTATACGCAGTATTAATAATAATAAAGCAATAAGCTATTTAAATTCTGTTATATGTATATGAAGATATATATTATTATATTAAAAAATTAAATATTTACCAACTATAAAATTTATTTCAATAAACAATAAAACAAAATAACAAAAGTCAATAAATCAATCAAATTGCCATCCCTAGTTACGAAACTGAACTTTTTGAGTCCAATATTATTACTTTTAAACTTTAACAGAAATTATCATTTAATTCATTTATAGAATTATTAACAGATTTACAAAATTCAGCAATCATTTGTAAGATATCTTTTTTACCTGCTGAATAAATTGAGACTAATCTGTCTCTAAACATATAGAAATTATTTCACGCAAATAAGAAATCAAATATAGCAAAATATGATTTCCTTACATTAAGCCAAAGAAACAAGGAACAAGTAAATTTGGCATATTCACGTAGCGTAATAAGCACCTACAAGACGGATTTACAAGATATCATCCCATGTTTCATTGTAAGGACCTTCATCTGAGTCATCGAAGTCTTCACTGTCATCTGTGTCTTCTTCTTGTTGTTTTTTCATGCAGTCTTTTCATTACAAATCGAGGTTAGAAGCCTGGATTAGTAACTTACTACAAAATTAAAGCATACTGTAGATCAAAAAAAAAAAAGAGAAAAAAAAAAAAAAAAAAAAACTCATTTTAATCGTTAATCGAATCACGATAAAGTTTTTCATGATCCCATCAGCGATCAAAAAGAAATATAAAGAATGGTTAGAATTTAAAATCGGATTTATTTTATATAAAAAATAAATCCCATTTCCAATTCTGTCAGTAGCCTATTATAATTATCTTAGCTAAAACTTACCCATGCATCTTGCTTTCTCTGCATTCTTTCTTTGAGCCTAGAAGTCATATATTATAATAAGTACAAATCAAGATCAGGATAATCGTTTCAAATAGATCTGATTATAATCAATGATCTCATTCATATACTGGATTAACTCATAATCAGGATAATTAATTATACATGCTTTAGCGAACTTGTCCAATGGCATGGTTCTGGTGCAAACCATACAGGTCAAAGAAGTATTTTGTTGAGGAGTGCATTGCTTGCAAGTTGTATGATGTCTTTTCGTGGTTCTACCTTTTGGCGCGTAGCCTTAAGGCAGTAAAAGATAGAAAATTGTGATAATAAACAGTTCAAATCATTTTATAAAATCCATTTCTAACGTTCTCATAAAATTAATAACGCTTTTCGATCATAGAAAAAAGAATAGTAAGGTTACTAACGATTATGAATATTAGACATGGCCTTTGTAACTTGTGTTTTCGAGAACGAGTGAATAGGCTTGTCTTTTTCACAGCCATAGCAATAAAGCGTTGAAGGTAGCTTAGGCTCTTGCGAATTGGCGTTTTTGGCTGAATGACTTGGACCACTATACGACATAGTAACGTTGAGAAGAAAAGACAATTTCAACTATCGCTATGAGAAGTCTGAGTCTAAAAATTAAATGAGGCTGTGAAACCTTTAATGTTGATCAACATCAACAGCCAATAAAAATTCAACCTATATAATGATCTGTCTATAAAAGTATTACAATGTTTGATTATCGCCGACCAAGAATGGTTTATCTCACGTATGTATGTACGTACGTACGTACATATCAGACGTACGATTTGTCACATCCAAAAATTTATCATATGATTTTCATAAATTACACAAATTGCCGAATTTACATTTT